ATGACATTAGAAAAAGTGAAAGGCACTGGCAGAGAGACCCACAGGTGCTGGGACTATAGTAGCCTGACCGGGGTGACATCAGGTTGGGGCAGAAGCCGCTGGTTACCTCACCAGACAGTGTAGACAGAACAATATCAGACCATATCACCCCAATTTAGACAATTCTGCCTGTTCAAGCCCAAGCTGTACCTTTCTGATTGTAGTAATATCTCTTCTATTGCAATTCGTGTTAAGTTCAATAACCTGATCCTTTTCTGAATTTGGAGTGATTGCAAAAGTAGCAGAGGTTAGCTGTGGTGTCATTTTTCTTTCTGCCAGTGCAAGAAAGGGTTTTTTATTCTATCATGACAACTGACCTGACTAATAAAAAATCAATGTTTAATTGAAACAGTGGAACAGTGGACTGAGGAATACAAACCGTTACACTCTGTGTAATGGGCAGTACTGTGTACACATAAATGTTAGGGATACAACACAAAGCTGCCATATGTGTCTGCAGTGTTTCCACAGAATTATATTGTATTTGTGGTGTTAACCGACGGAGGGCTTTCTTACATTAATTATTAAATAATAACATATATAAGGTGCTCAACTGCAAATATTTTAACGCCTCGTGAAGAATAAACATATAGCTCAATTTCTTCATGTTATATCAAACAAATAACAACCCACAAACTCAGTCGGGTCGGTTAGGGTTGGTTACATGTGATTGGCCAGTGAGCCCGCGCTGTGCACCCTGAATGACAGGCACACAGATAGGGATGGTCCTTTGGCCCAGTCTGACTATGACAGACGGGTCTGTTGTCAATGTGTTTGTTGAGAGAGATAGAGTGAGAGAGAGAGAGAGAGAGACAGAGAGAGAGAGACAGAGAGAGAGAGAGAGACAGACACAGACAGACAGACAGACAGACAGAGACAGGGGTGAGGAGGGGCTGAATGAATCAATGCACTGTGCACAGTTCTACCCATTTGAAAAAGGAAAAAACAAAAAGAAAAAGAAGGAAAAAAAAAGAAAATCAATACGTGGTGGTAGGAGTTGATATTGTGCTGGGCTGCCTAAAATAAATCAATGTATGGGAAACGCTGGTCTGTTTTTTTTTAACAAAAACATCTGTACTACTTTCTTTTCTGTGTTCAATTGTTTTCAGCTGCTATTTATACTGTTAAAAAAAGTACATGCACTTTTTGTTAGTCAAATTATAAAAACATGATTTGTTTTTTAATCTGTAAAACTAAAGGTGGAGGTGGAAATCAATAGCGGAAATAAATATTTAACAGTGGGAAAAAAGGCAGAATTTCATTGGGCCATATTGTACAACTTTTGGGGCAAATTGTGTCAATGACAGATCAGTGTGAGTCAGGTATTACAGCAATAATTCAAATGTTAGGGCGCATTGTCTGTTCATATCCATATGATGTGTTCGTTTCCATCCCAAATAAATACAACAGCACAGTTCAAGCTTTATTTTCACAGCTGCCATCTTCTCATAGGCCTTACTAAAATAATTTAATTTCCTTAGATAATATCACTGAATTCACCATTGTACAATGACCTGTACAGTTTATGATAATTCTCAGATGTTCTGATTTGCATTCCTGTTATTGGCGAGTTAACAAAAAAAAAGAAGCCTTTTTGGAGCCAACAGGAAAGAAAAATTGAACCTGTACTCTCATAATGTTCAGGTCATTACACTGAACATTTGAACTAGATTTTTTTTTGGTCTGGTTTGTCATTTTTCTTGCTGTCAATTTTGTCTCTTTCTAAAACACTTTTCTTCTTTTTTTTTTTTTTAAACACATTGTAGACCAAACATTGTAATAATAATAATTACTATGTTTAGCCCATTACTTATAACATTTAACAGAAACAAGAAGAGGAAATAACAAAAAATAAATCTGGCTAGACGGGCAGAGACAGACATTTGAGAGTAGAGAGAGAGCACAGGAAATGTAGAGTCAATGGAGGGAGGAAAAGAAAGACAGAGGAAGAGAGGGAGGGAGGGAGGGAGAGATCTGACCTTGATGTCTGGCCACAGCAGCCAGCTGGGGATGGAGACATGAGGGTGAAGGAGCGACAAACAGTGAGAGAGAGAGAGAGAGAGAGAGAAGTGAGGGGGGGTAAAGTGCTTGGGTGATCGGATTGCTGAGAGGGCAATAGTGGCAGAGAGAGAGACAGAAGGAGGAGGAGGCTGGTTGATGAGGTGGGATGGGGTGATGGGGTGATGAAAGATAGGAGGGACGAAAGAAGGGAACTGGCAGCTTCCTGGGCATGGTTCCATCAATGCATCAACTCCCTGCAGCCACACCCCAACACACACATACAAGTATCAATATCTGCTGCCATAGACACACACACACACAGCAGGATGTTTCCACATATCTGTTTCAGCTATTAGTGAAGCTCATGTACATGTTTATACATATTTCATGTTGAACACATATTTCTTATTTAAACATTCTCTCATCTGTACTTTTTTCGTTGTAAATGCGCTGTATAAATATGTTAAGATTCATATATTTTACACATGTGACAAAGTTGTAAAAAGATCCTTATATACAGATAAAAAAAGGAAGAAGAAAATAAACCACATATGACAAATTGATGCATTTAGCTCCTGTATTGCACCATATGGTGAGTAGGTAGCTGCTGTAGCTGAATCTAGAAATACCCTGGTAGAGATAAAGTGGAGAATTTGTTCCTGCCAAAGAAAGTGCTTGTTGCTGGAAAGTAAAAATAAAGCTTGCTGAATCAATCGGTGTTTGCTTGTTAGCGGAAATGTCAATCATGGCATTTTCCATAGCAGGCTGTGAGTGGTAATTCATGGACAATTACAGAGACTCTTTATCTTACAAATTGTCCTCTGGTGCGGCACATGTCATGACTCGCACTTGAACGTTACATTGCAAGAAGGTAAATACACACTGACAGATGTTCTGTTGGCACAGGTGTGACATTAATGATGTCTGTGTTTTCTGAAACACTTCTTCCACAGGTCAGAAAATGTCATTAGCAATTCCAATAAATTCCATTTCCAAACCTTCAATAACAAAATGACATTTGTGTGCAGCCTGTTGAGTTCAAGTTGTAGCAGTTTTTTTTGTAACTGTTAGCTTTTCAATCTTCATTTAATGAGCAAAATGTAGTCAATCAGTCACTTATAACAAGTCACAGCACACATCAAAGTTTGGTGTAAAGTATTTTTTCTCATTCAGCAACAAGTTTTATTGCCTCTTCTTGGTGGCCATGTTAGAAGGACCGTTGTGGTTTTGGCAGAAGTACGCCAACAAATCCAGGTTGTAATGTAAATGTTTTGGTGAAACTACAGTTTTATTCCTACAGTGGCCCTGAGAGCTCAACACACTGCAACTTAAGAAAACACATGCAAATAGACAAAACACAAACAATTTCAGAAAACATCTTCATCAGTTTGACAACACATGCTGCAAATACTTACAACACAACCAAATACAGAAACGCACTGCAAGTAGCACAGACAAAGTGTTTCCAGGGGTCACCGAAGAGTGATGAACACGGCTGGGACGCACTTACATGGATGTATTATAATGCAGTACATCTAATCTAATACATATAATCAATGCACACTTACTGTTCAATGGTTTCAACTTCAAAAGCCACAAAACAATGAACAACAAGGGCGTCCCGGCCGGGTTGTCGTCTTGAAGAACGTTTGTGTATTTAGTTGTGTTGTGTGTATTTGCAGCACATGTGTTTTCAAATCGATGAAGATGTTTTCTGAATTTGTGTTTTGTCTATGTGCATGTGTTTTCTTAAGTTGCTGTGTGTTGAGCTCTCAGGGCCACCGTACATTCCTCTCTCTGAACCCTGACGGCAGAGGCCCCATCTCCTTTGGTTTTCAACCAAGACCTTGGAATGGCCAGCAATGTATTACCAGAGGATCTCGGACTGTGTCCTGGCTCATGGGGGATAAAAGCTCAGAAATATAGGGAGGGGCCCGCCCAATTAGAAGAATTTTAAAATAAGACGGTGCTGCCACATTAGAACTATGAGAGGTCAGTTATTTGATAATGAAGCACAGTGAGAAATGGCAAAAATAACCATGCGTCTGGATCATAGTGATCCAGAGACACCACCACACAACCCTATTCGTGGTACAGAAAACAGTGGATCTATACAAATGAAAGAGTGACGTAGCTCCAGTTCACTACTGATCATGTGGTTAGCGTTAAAGAAATGTCAAATACAAGTTGGTAATTGCGAGAGAGACAAAATGTCAATCTTGATCATGTTAACGTTATCTTCAAATAGCATCCAGAGTTTAACAGAAACCACTGTACTGTGAGTAATTTGTTCCGGGACCACCACAATGTCCATCCAGTGTGGGATGCACTTCCTGAGGCCCTGAGGTAATAAGCACCAATCACCAGACTCCCCTGGCAGCGCTAAAGTCCTACAGAGAGGCCTTATCTCTGCAATTATTAATAATCACTGAACATCCTAAAGAAATATTAGTCCCATCTGATCTAAACTCGCAACAGTGTGGGCTGTATCTAAATTGGTCTCCAGGCCTTTGGGAAAGGAGACCGCACAGAACAGAGTGACCTGTCAGAGTAGGAAGGAGAAATAAATAACTGGATAGCTACTTGGCCGAGTTCACCTCACTCCTATTGCCCTGGTTACATGGACGACAGGAGTTAACTCTGGCTTCAGACTGAGCGTCTGGATCATTAATTTAGATGAGGAAGAGAATGTGATCTTGAACTTGCAGGGACACTGACCCCTGCTCATTAGCAATGACTACAGAGCCAGAGGCAAATATCACATAAGTTTTTGGCCCATATAACAGTGTCATATGCAACATTTCACAAGATCCTAAAATCCCAGTTCCAATGTTTTTTGCCCTGAGCGAAAAAAATATCCAAAAGATTAAAAAAAAAAGATAATGAATTTTGGATAAACAGGATCTGGTTGACTGTGTTTATTCAGGAGGGTGGACATGTTTGGCTGCGGATTTGCTTACCTGTCATCCTGGACTTTCTGCTGATTATAGCGGACATGGAAGTCTCTTAGCTCCTCTATCAGTCCTGCAGACAACATCTCATCTACGCGAGCATCCAACCGCTTGTCTAGAGCTGCAGGGGAACAGAGAGGAGAAAAAATGTATAACAAGTGTACCAGAAAAATAAGACAGACACGCCTAAAATCTTATTTCATGCTGCACTGAAGCTCCCATATGAATATCAGCATTTCTGTTCTTTGAATGCAAGGAAATTGACGCGATCGTTCCTTCCTTACCCTCCATGTCTGCATGCAGCCAGAAAATGCAGGGGTCTGGGTACCTCAGCGGGCCCCCCAGCCCATCGCCTCCTTCCTGCCCCCTCTGCTCCTCCAGCCAGTGACTGTGGGGGACGCCTGTCTCCTCATGGATTTGCAGGCTCCTGTAGATAAACATGCAAGCAAAGACGTTAACGTTAAATAAACCCCTCAGTTGCATTTCCCGCAGGAACATTGTGCAGACATAACTACACAAATCATTCTCAGAGGTTTTTTTCAGATTGAAACAAATTCCTATGATCTCCAGTATACGGTGAATTTAAATCCCAGTCCCTGGATTTCTGGCCTCGGCGGGTAAACTGAGATTAGGTGACTTAACCATCCACTCATCCATTAAATCCAATGTAAATGAAAACCCCAACCTCCCCTTGTGATGGACAAATTAAGAATCTGGTTTGAGAAGGACAAGATGACTGCTGCACCACAAACAATACAAAACTGTACAAATAAAAAGGTGTAAGAAAAGAAGTAAAACAAGGGAAAATATAAACCATGATCAACACGTTTTCTCTCTAGTACACAGTTATCTTTCAGCCAAGCTTTCAAAATGTTCAGATTTAAATCCATACCAGATTCTTTAGCTGTGCCTGGTTGCGCTCTGAAGTTATGATAAAAAAGATGATTCCTGTCCTCTGTTGTCAACTAGAAGAACAGGGTAACCTAACCTGCTCACACAAAAGACCAGAGTGCACTGACTGCTACTCATCAAGCTGTGAGTGTTTGTGTGAGTGTGTGTGCATGTGTGTAAACAGATAAACTGTCAGCGTAGATTGGGTGGAGGTCGTATACTGTGACTGTCAGCCTGAGACAGAACATTAGCCCTTCAGGACCCCACACAAAACATGAGAAAACTCAAAAAATGTTGTTACGCATGACTCATGTACACACAAACAAGTTGACACAAGACACACCTAAAAACACTATACACCATATAATCCAGAAGGTGAGTAGAGCAGTTTCCCTATGCACTCATGTAAAAATGCTGTAATTCTGTTGCTGAATTAGAGCCACCTGCATAAAACACATAGCATTGTTTAAATATTGACAATGTTTAAAATTAATATCAGACGATTATGTTTCCAAACAAGGTAATTTTATCAAAATCTAAACAGTTTCTCATTTAATACTGACGCGAACATGGACGTTTGAACTTTAGTGAAAATATCAGGCCTATTTTGTTTTTGGCCATTCACACTAGCAGTTTAACAAGGTTGGTGGTAAACAAACTTAATTTTAACAAACTCAAACATAATTGAAGAATTTCAAAATAGTGCTACAATTCAAAATTCAATCAGTTTAATGAAAGACTGAACAAAGAAAAGAATCAGAACATACCTAACACAGTCAGCTAGCTTAGCTAGCAGCTAACCCTTGGACTATTTTTTGATAATCAGGTACCACAATGTTTATTATGGGACTGAAAATCTTAAATATTCCTGGCTGCATTTCTACTAATGTTGCTAGTGTTTCTTTTGCTACTAGCTACCTAACTAGCTAACACGAACAAAGTAGCTATATAAAACATACACAGCTAACAAACAAATAACAGTGTAGCAGGAGAGGCTCATTATTAATTATTTAAAACTATTGTTATCTAAAAATGGTTAAGTGTGTTTCATTTAGCTAACTTTTCCTACACACGCTTGTGTTGCTTAACATGTTAGTTTGGACGAACAATTTAAAACTGACCAGTTAGAAATGAAGAGAAACTTAAATATTGTGTAATGTGGGTAATTTGTCATTTTAGAACTATGTCCGTTTTCTAGAAATACACGTTACAAAAAGCTGATAAATCTGTCACTAGATATCCGGTGTAACACGTACACCAGTGAAGATATCTGTTCAGCTGCATCACCTGGCAATCTTGCGTTTGTTGTTGGGGTGCAACATGGAAGCCATTTTGGGGTCCACCTCTGCCAGTCGTTTGTGTAACTCATCTGCTCCCAGTTTTTCCAACTCCAATTTCCTGTTTGGAGCTCCGTCTCCTCCATCCTCTGACTCTTCGTTCTCCTGCTGTGAGAGATATTTCATTTTAAGTTTGAGAGTTGACCAAAGCCGCCTTCAAGTACTGAGCTTAAACTCCTGCTTCCAAATCCTTAATACATATACTAGTCCTGTTAGAACAGTGCTTTAGGTCAGAAATAACATGCATAGAAACAGAAAAGAAAACATAAAATGTAATAAGCCACATCTTGGCAACTGAGGAATTATTATCACAGTCACACTTTTTCATTACAATATCCGTAAGCACTGAAAGCAGCACATATTGTGGTATGATTTGCATTCCTGCCAACATGTAAGATCTGTGAGATTTTTTGCAGTTGTGGGTTGCCAGGTTGTGGTAACAGATGGGTTGAAATTGTATGCATGTGCATGGATTGTTTCATACACAATTTGGCAACTTGGATAATGTCAAAAAAACAAACAAAAAAAACATACAGAACGAATGGATCCATGAAATATGGAGACTCCCCACCATGGCAGGTATGAATTTGGTGGCATAATGAGCTAAATAATGTCAGAGACGCACAGAGGACGAGGGGAAGTGTATTTGTGTTGTACTGTTATTGCACTCACCCCTGTATCCAGCAGGACCTTCCACAGCAGAGACTCAATGTAATAATTTGTTCCTCCAACAATGATTGGCAGTTTGTTTCTGCTGTGCATGTCATCTATGTTGAGTGTGTTAAGGAGGAAACTGATCTGCACATATTTTCTGTAGATGATTGCACAATAATTAAAATCACTTTTAAGCGACCTGTTGAGCTTCTTTAGTGGCATTTAAACCATAACGGCATAAAATCAACTTTAGCAAGTTCTAATTTAATCAGTCATTCTGAGAGGCTGCCATTCACATTTTGCTAAATTGCATACACCTACTCAGGTTATTCACGTCGACAGTGCATTTTCCAAAGGCGCTTGTTTAATGGTTTCATATTATGTGCACATTCAAGAAAAGTGAGAATCCAGATGAGAGAGAAAATTGAGCTTTCTCCCTCTTTGATTTCACAGTCCCTCCCCTCAAAATGCAGCGTTCAAATAATAGCAAACATTCAAGGGAACAAACAAACAGAACAAACCACTTTTGCAAACCATACAAAATACAAATGAAAAAGCCTGATCTTAATTTACCATTGGGCTGGCTATCCAAGGTTTGTTTGTTTCAGGCTATTACCTTGAAAAAATAAGATAAAAAAAAAAAGTAGAAAATTGAATAATATCTCGTGACATAAGTGCTGCAAAGGGATTAAACAAAAGAAAATGCAGGAAATCAGCAAAAAACCTCAACATGCTGGAGCTGTTAGCGATTCCAGGCATCAACACAGTACGTGGCCCATAAAAGTAAAAGCCACAGCAGAATGCTTGATAAACAAGAACAATACCACTTAACATCAATACAGACTGTAACATTATAAATAGGAGCGCAACGGCAGTATTAAGCTGAATATTGTATTTCTTACAATAAGTGAGTGCAGTGCGGCTGATATGATGATACACTCTAATAGCCGTCAGTTAATATAAATGTATGTGTGAGGTAAGAAGAAGACGGTTTTTCTTTTCTCCTGCTTGTCGGCTTGTGACACCGTAAGTGTGTTTCCGTCCACCTATTTTTATGCACGTATTTAATTTACATGTAAAAAAAAAAAATTTGCAAGAAAGGTCCAAATATCACAAAAAAAGTTTTTATACTTGGTGGAAAAGTTGGTGTACTGATAATAACAAAATGTGACAAAATGCAACGGAAACAGTGAATAAACCATGATGTCTATGAAGCATGTGACTTATTTGCCGCAAGCTCCACTGAAGAAATAAAAAATATTGGCAGATGAAAACTGTAACCTTCCTCAAATTAATACACAAAACAAGCATAAATGCCACATTTCCATCATGTGTTTTACATTGTTTTTCACCACCTGAAGTTCGACTGCTGCACTTGTCATTACGCTCTTTCATTACCTCAAACTGTTTCTCAATGCGCTCAACTAGCAAAACGATGGTGGAAGGAAAAAACGCATCAATTTACAATTTCTTTTACCAATTTTAAGGAAATTTGGTTCAAATTTGTGCGAGACATGGATGGAAACCTGACTTCTGTTTATAAGCTGAAAATTTTTCCCCTCTAAGCTTCTCATATTGTCATTTCAATAAATGTTCCAGGCCTAAGACGTAAAACTATCCAAAAGTTTCACAAACGAAGCATTAATCACATTAATCATCTTGTGGCACACGAGACACCAAGACTGGGAATCGCTGCTCAACTGAATGTGCTTGGATTTTGAATCCATGCAATATGAAAACGTCAGCTTGGGCTATCAGAAAAATGTTCTCTATAGTCTGAAATTTGATAGAATATAAAATGAACTCATTAATTGAGAAAATTATAATAATAACATATAACAATAATTAAAATAACTGTTAGCTGTGTGTCAATACTGTTTCTGTATTGCAAACTCTGTATCAGCCGCACCTCTAAAATTAACACAAAAATATCAATATTGGAGTGGTCACACAGACAGAGGCTGTGTGCCACACCTTTTTCCTCTCTCTCTCTTTTTCTGTCGCATCTTCTTTCATCTTGCACCTTTCCTTCTTTCTCCTCCTCCCTCCCTCCAGTCGCCCACCTTCTCCACTCAGGGATAATTAAATAACCACTCAGCCATCGTCACTCACCTCCCCTTTTCTCTCTCTCTCTCTCTCTCTCTCTCTCTCTCTCTCTCTCACACTCACACACACAGACGGAGCTGCATCACTGTGTTTGAGGGAGGGCGAAACAAGAGATGGAAAGACAGTGAGGATCGCTGACAAGTGGTGAGGAAAATTGAGGGAGGGAAAACAGAAAGAGGGCCAGAAGACTGAGAGCAATAAAGGAGAGACAGAGGAGGGCTTCAGGAGGGAGATTATGTGATTGAGTGAAGGACTGATAGCTGATGATGTGTCATTAGGTTCCAGTGTCTTTGAACTTCTCAAGCTTGTCAGCCCTCTCCCTCTCTTACACACACACTCACTCACTCACTCACACACACACACACACACACACACACTCTCTATCGTCTCTCTTTCGTGCTTTACAGTTTAAAATCATCCACGCTGCTTCTATCCCTCTAATCTGTATTCATCTCTTTCCATTTCTCCCTCTTCCCACCAGCAGGCTCACACTGCACTGAGCCTATTCTTGGAGCTACCGCATCCCCTCTCGCTGCACTGGTGAATGTGTGTGTGTGTGTGTGTGTGTGTGTGTGTGTGTGTGTGTGTGAAAGAGAGAGAGAGAGAGAGAGAGAGAGAGAGAGGGTGTGTGTGTGTGCATGCCATCCTGATCTATTTATACCGTCTCCAGTTATCGCCTCCTCTCTCCACATCTGTGTGACGGCCGTTAGTCTGCAGGAGGGTGTGACTGCCCAAACTGTGTGTGTATGTCTGTACAAATTTTAGCCTGAAACCATAGTTGTGAGGACGTTTCAGCCTTGTGAGACATGTTGGCCAGTCCTCAAAGATTCAAAGGGGTTTGTTTTAGGTTAAGTTCAGAATGAGGTTTAGGTTGGGGTTGGGTTTAGGCATTTAGGGAATGCACAATGAGTGTCCTTACTATTATAAGAAGACCAACATTTGAGCATGAACGCACCACAGACAGAGACTCCTATAAATATCTCTAGTCTCTCTCTTCTCATTTTCAGTGCAACATCTGCAGTGAGACACACTGACAAAACGAGGACAGAGCACATCGTCTCTACACACACACACACGCGCGCGCGCGCACGCACGCACGCACGCATGCACATACACACATACACACACACACACACACACACACACACACGCACACACCAATTAGTAAGAGTCAAATCGACTGAATTCTTTCCTGCAGTTACCACTTATTAATAAGGGATTAAAGATGTGACAGGGGTGATGGCAAAGTGTGGAAAGAGGTGTTAAAGAAAACATTGCTCCTCTGCTTTCACGCGTTTCGAGGAAAGGATATCAGAGCCAGGGCTTTGTTCCTGAAGTCCACCACCGTGTAGCTGCTAACTAGCGGGTCCACAAAGCTGATCATGTGATGTCTGCACTGGGCGAGCTCCTCCGCCGTCACCTTATTGGTGATGATGTCGAGGCCCTGGTACACCTGAAAGGCGACACAAAGGAATCGATTAACAGGGGGGGAAAAAAGGCAAGTTATCAGAGCAGAAGTAAATCATAAAACAGAATGAAATAAAGAAGGAATAAATGCTATACAGACAGATAAAATAGTAGAATACACATTATATGGATGAGATAAAAAAAATAATAAATGATTGCAAGAGTGGGAGTTTAATGGAGGTTTGTCCTAGAAAGCATAAAATCCTTGTCAACACTGTAAGAACGAAGAAGCTAACGAAGAAGAAAAAAGCTTTCATAAAACAAATAGGTCAGGAAATTGCTAGTATGCTAGTAGTCTATGCTAGCAGCAGGGTGTGTGCAAATATGTGCGTGTGTGTGTGTATTTGTCAGTGTCAGAAACTGAAAGCAGGGCTGTGATGGAGGATCGATGTCTGTCGTCCGCATTGGAATGACTCTGACCATTCCTGCAAATTACAATAGACACCTCCTCTGTCCATTTTACATCACCCAGTGACGGGGCTCCCACATGGAATGTGTCAGCTGGGTGTCATACAGTAGTCTGTCGTGATTTTCATTCTCACACACACACACACAGAGTCGAGAGTGTTAAAGGGATGTTTCAGGATGTAGAGTACTTTCTACCTGGGTTTCTCTCTCGAAAGGCCCTTTTCATCATTTCAACTCATGTCTTGTTTTCATTTGTCCCATTGTCCTTGATTATTTTGGAAAATCCAACATTGTTAAGGTTTATATTGGAGTTTATGTTCACTTCCTGTGCAGAGCTTGGATTCTCGTTTGCTGTAGAGGTGCGTACTGTGAAGACACAGGACACTGATGAGTGCTGATAACTGGATCGACATGTGGAGTGACTGAAAAGAAAGGTGACTCGCCGCATTTAGCCTTCAGTAGATTTGTAGCTCCTGCATAATGTAGGAGTCGCTGTGGTTTGCACTATTCTTCCTCTGCTCTTCTTTCCCCGAGTTGTCAGGGCTGCAGTGTAGTTAATCTAAGGGTTAACGTCCTCCACCTGGCAAACCACTGCAAGGCTTTTATTTTGAAGCAGCTTAGAGGTCAGCTGTTAACACCTACACAGCTGGTGTATTTTAGACATTTTTTGGCACTGTGCTGTTGGTGGATCAGTTTTAATTATTGCAAGGGATGAAAGGAAAAAAGGGACTGCAGATAAAAGCTCTTTTACACAGCCGGTTCACAGTGGGACTGTTGCGCCTTTATTCTGCCTCATCGTTCTGTATAAAAAGGTACAAACATGGAATGGGTCATTGTTTTCGCCTTTATTCATTCACCAGTCGCAGTCTAGGCTGATAAGACCAAATCAGGGAGCGACCATGGGTGTGTACATCATCATTTCCAAAGGTCGCTATTTTTGCTCGTCCAGACGACAACACAACCTTAAAGTTTTCTAACTAAAGCGTGGCCAGCAGTGTTTCCAAAAGACTCTGTTTTATGGGCTTGAAAACTAGTAGTGTGGACGTGTAAACGTTTTAAAACTAAAATGTAGTAGCGTGGTTGTAGCCTGTGTAATATGGAGAGTTGGCAGGACGCCGACACATTTGTGTTACAGGAGCGCCGGCGTGCTATCTAAAAATCTTTGTTTGGTTCATTGTAAACCAGCAAAGGGGCAATAAAAAGAAGTCTTCTTAACAGCAATAAAGCAGGATCTTTGTATAAAACAGGCCAATGTGCACTGGTTGCAGGTGTCTACCTGCAGTTCAGGAGAATCTACAACTTCAAACAACTTCATGACTTGTCTAGTCATATTTTATATGCCCTGCTAGCAGGAGCTGCAGAGAGGCACAGAGTTGCACAGGTATAGAGCTACATACATACCAGCAACTGACTGACAATGATAAAGTCCTGTTAACTTGATGCTACGTGTTCCATTCTCAGCATTTACCGCATTGCAACATGACAAATGTAACAGAAAATGTATGGCAGTGTTGGTCCATCTGTCAACTGGTGGGTTCAAAGGACCTTGGTGTAGTTGGGTTCTGTAGATCAATTCTAGGCCATGCTAGTGACAGCAGAGAAACAGAAGTTGAACTCTGACCTGAAGTAATTATGCTGCAGATGGCAAAATATAAACACCTCCCCTCATTTATCATGTAAATACACCTCTACGGCTCTGTCTTCTGCTTAGCATCTGTGTGTAGTCTACCATCAGCCATTCAAGGTGTGTGTTTGTGCGCGTGCGTGTGTGTGTGTGTGTGTGTGTGTGTGTGTGTGTGTGTGTGTGTGTGGGGCTCAGAAAGTGAATCAGCCTGAAGTTGCCAGGAAAACTTTATGAAACTCTCCGAGTCAAAAACCTCCCAAACACTTTAGTGGGCTGAAAGCTCTGGTTGGATTCAGCCTTGATTTGGGAAAAACCATCTTGGTGAAACACTCTATTGTTCAATAATTCAGAGTAGGAAAATAGAGCCTTTAATCATGAGCACTCAGCCGGCTATGGGGACTGAATCACACTCCCAAATGAACACATGAGTATCATCTTTACAGCATGAAAAAAATGAATAAATGAAGTCACTCTTGGTTTAAATCGTGAGCAGATTTTTCCTATGCATTGAGGAAAGTTTAGATTTTTTACTTCTCTTACTGCTCAGACATTTTCCAAACTAGAATCTCTGAGGTTTAGGCAGCTGGGACATGTGGTGTAGATGTGGAAAGATGAGAAAGGAAAGGGTCAGAAACCCACACGGTTTTCTTTTTATAGATGCCAATATTAGAGGGTTATAATAGAAAATCATATCTACCTGCAACCTAGAAGTATCATTAGTGTGATAAGAAACTGTGAGGCACGGCAGGTCTGTCAAACCTTGGATCCCTCCACATGTCAAAGGTGTGTGCATGGGGCTGAAGCAAGACTGAGCATTTAAAGAAACATGGCATTTTATCTTTATCCTTTCAAAAACCACATATCAAAGAGAAAAAGTGCAAAGAATTGATTAAACAATGTGTTTGTCTGCTCTAAGGTAAGCTACACCTTTAGCATCCCCATCTAACTACCTCACCACCAACAGTAGTGACCGAACATTACATCCATGGCCAAAGCGAATATCATTACCTTACTAACGCTACATAAGTTTGTGTGCTTTTGTAAAAAAAAAAAGTTAAAATAAATAAATAAATAAAAGCTCACATTCACATGCACTGTGTAGCATTTACCCATAAGTGGAAGCCATTCCTGGATGCTAACAGAGTTAAGGCTAACATTAGCAGCTCTATTCCTACAAACATCATGTTTTGCTAAGTAGTCAAACTTACATTAAAATGAATTCTGATCTTAAAATTTTCCTCATCATACTTATAATACTACAGCTAACTACCATCTACACAAAATAGGAGCAATGCTGTTTATTAATGTATCTTAGATGGGGCTCACTCTCTGTAGCTTTGTAGCTTTAGCATCAGTCTTTTAGCACTAGATCATGTATGGCCATCAACAAAACATTTAAGACCCCTATTTCAGTTTTTAAACGTCACAAAGTTAGCAAGAACCAACATTTTCCACAAACTCGTGGAGCTAATCTTAGCTAATTAAGCTAATGTGTTACCAAAAGCAGCAAATCCAGAAATATTGATGGCTACAAGCTAGACATAAGAAACCTGTTTTGTGCTCTGGGTTTATTACTCTATAGTTATCATACGTTTGTTTAAATTTTTTCCTCCTTCTTAGCTTCAGTTGCACTTTCTGATTGAGTTTAGTTGTAGTATTTTGGGTCTTTTTTTTTTTTTTTTTTATAGTTGCAGTTGTAGTTTTTCTTTATTCGTTAGAGCCAGACAGTGACAGCAGAACTTGTAAGCGAGAACCAGACATCACAGTTTTATTTTGTCTCAGCTTTGTTTTTCAGTTTAAGAAGCATTTTGTGGTGCAAGGCGTGCCCACATCCTCTGGAATACACCCTAACTTTGTTATACAGCATCTTCCTGCAGACTCAATCTTACATCGCAAGACAACAATATTACAGACTTTAACCCAACATACATGTACTGGATAATCAATACAACTGTGCATACGTTATTGATCATATCCTTGGTGACAGCGTCTGTGGGTTGCGTGCACTTCACCAAATGTTCTGGAGCACCGCAGCAAGCCAAAAATGGGGAGCAGGGCAGGGCAGAACAACCCAGCCTGATAAATTATTCACGGCTTCTCTGCACGACACCACTGTCAGCCAAGGGAGGGATGGATGCATGGATGGATGGACGGATAGATGATGGAGATTAATGAATGAAGGTGAAGGTTTGAGGAAGTTTTTGGAAAGAACAGCGATGGAGAGGATGACAGAGAAAAGGAGATGAACAGACAGAAGAGCGCTGTGTACTTGTTACAGAGAACAGGATGCTCCCTGACAAATTTGCACACATTATCCACCGCCACCCCTCCTCTGTCTTCACTGCTCTCTCTCTCTCTCTCTCTCACACACTCACAATGACACACACACACACAACACACACACACACACACACACACACACATACACACACACACACACACACACAGATTGTACAGAGAGAAGACAGGATGATAGGTAGCAGAAGGATGGCAGAAGGGTGGTGAGAAAGAGAGAAAGCCATATAGAGATGCTCAGAGAGATAGACTTGCATCAGGTTGGTGTGTGTGTGTGTGTGTGTGTGTGTGTCACTGACTGAGGGTCACATGTCTCTCATTATGAGCCACACCCCTCCCACATTAACACACTTTTGTTCCCCGACAAGACAAATGCTCTTTATAACATGCACTCACAACTTGTTAGAAGTTAACAAAACATGCTCACCGCATGGCCCGTTTAGCAGCTGTCCGGGAGCTTTCAATCATAACACATGATATTCATCGAAAGATGGAGTTGCCCAGTTGTCATGGAAATGTAGACGTTCATATTTTCCAAATTTTTCTGCTCTGTCGGCTTAAAAATGTTGATTTCATGACAACTCCATCTGCCGAGGAAGATGTGACGTGATCTGATTGAAAGCTACGAAGCAGCTACTAAATGGACCTTAAAGGGGAGC